ATTCATGTTCAGAGAGAGAGAGAGAGAGAGAGAGAGAGAGAGAGAGAGAGAGAGAGAGAGAGAGAGAGAGAGAGAGAGGAGACAGAGACACAGAGACACACACAGAGAGAGACAGAGACACAAAGAGACATAGACAGAGAGAGACACACAGAGAGACAGAGAGGGACACACACACAGACAGAAACAGAGAAAGAGAGATACAGAGAACAAAAAGAACAGAAAATATTAAGAATGTGCTGTTTGTCAAGGCACAGAACTTCAAGTTTTAAAGTTGCATAGGTCCACACTGAAAAACAGGCTGCAGTCATTAAAGCCAAACCTCATGCCCCAAGAGTATGACTCCACCCTCCAAAAGCTCGAAACAGTGAAAATATAAACATATTATAAGGAGAGAGTCTGAACAAAAATTCCATTGCCCAGAGTTCTCTGTTCCTGGACACCAACTGCTCAGAAAATTGTTTCACACTGTGCTTGGTACAATTGTTGTCTAAAGGGGTCAAATTCATCATAAGCTATTAGCAGAACTTTTTACCATCGTCAGAACAGTGCTGGTTTTGCAGTCAGGAAAGATAGTGTTGAAGAGGTCACAGTCTTGCCTTATGGCTCCAGAGAGTTTTGAAGGCAGCCAAAGTGTGGCAAATGGAAATCTCCACATTTATAACCAAGGAAAGTTGTGAATATGCACTGGAACCTTGATAAGAGATAGGCCATGTCTGCTGTAAGCCAAGATAGGGGCGTGGGAGCTACCCAAGCCTGTGAAGTTGAGAAAACTCCATCATGAGTCCCAGATGTTGGCAATGGAGGTACAAGATTAGGTGTTTTCTCGATTCAGTTTTGGTCGTGTTTCTACACAGCCATCCTTTATTATGGCACCCAAATATTTCTCTTTAATGTGAATGTTTATTCACAATCATATTTGGAGGAATACATCTTGTTTTTATTTTATAGGTCATATACTCTACCCTAGAACTGGGAACTGTGAGCCAAAATAGACCTATGCCCCATTAAGCTACTTCAGTCAGGTTATTTTACCACAGCAGCCAGAAAATACTGAGTGCACATAATCCAAGCAGACTTTCAATTTTCCTAGGAAATGGACTTCAATGTATTCCTGCCACTAATCTGTTAGTGCTGTAAGACATACATACCTCTGGCCCATCTAGCACTGAGTGCCAGCTGCACCCAGCATCAGCTAGAGATTTGTGGGTGAGAAAAGATGAATAAAGCATGAAAAATACTCAAAGGAGTACAGTATGAATAAGCACAAAGGATTTTGCATAGCTTCCTTCTCTAGCTTGAAATAGAGTGGGCTCCCAGCTTCTTCCTGGGGGAGAGAAGGAATTGGACAGAGATAATGTGTCACCCTTTTGCTAGCCTTCTTCAGCCACTGGTTGCCCTTCATTTGTCTAACACATGGGTTGAACCAGGAGAACCTTAGTGTCTTGGGAGCAAAATGAACAAAGAGCAGTTTGGAAGAATGTGATGGTGTGAGACATGCCAAATCTCTGACACCAGATGATTGATGTGTTGGTCTTCTAGTGGAAACAAACAGTGGTTATTGGTATTACAATGCAACCTGCCGTGAGAAGCATTGAAGTATTTTTAAAATTAATTTCATTATAAAATTTTGAACAACTTCAGAAGTATAGACCATCATCGGTAAACAGCAGCCACTTAAATTGACATTTCCTTTAAAACATACAGGTTGGAAACAGCTAATCCAAGTCACCTTTTAAGTCATAATAGCATAGTATTATTATTGAGAGTTCTGGGTTTTATGTATTCAATACTATATAGTCTAAACTTAAATTTATCTTGATAATAAAACAATTTTTGTTAATGAAAACAGCACACCTGTAGTTAATAATTGTTTCCTCAATGACAAAACAACAGTCTAAAATATTTCTTCATTGAGATAAGGAACAATTGTGCAATTTGAAATATATTTAATTGAAAATGAGTGATTCTAAAATGATATACCATTTAAAAATTAAGGCCCAAGTAACTAAGAAAAGGCAGAAAAAATATGAGTAATTACATGGGGAAGAGAGCTTTGAAATGCATATTTTTGGAAATGACATGTCCATGCATGCATCAACTCCCAGCAGATGTTGTCTTGGTAGGACTGGGACAGGATCAAGCCTATCAGAATTCCAGCAAGCATATTGGAGGTGCTGAAAATCACTACCCTTTGTAATGTGGCCTTAAGTAGGCTTCTTATGACCCAGTGGGTAGCCGATAACCATTCGTTCATGAGCACACAAGCAATGTGAATTAAACTCAGTGGGTTATTAATAAGAATAATAAAAGAAAAAGACCTGATGTTCTTAGAGAAATTGGGTTGGAGCACTAGTTGGATGGATATGATTAATTTACTTTGTATAAATATTTGAATCTTTCAAAGAATAAGTAATAGTATATAAAATATAGTTAAATAAATTGCTAAGCAGGAGGAAGAAATTAAGCTTTGGTCCCTCTTTAAAATCAGTAGTACCTGTTTTTCAGGAGATTATTTCCTGGCACTTCATAGAATGTTTGACAGACCCAGGAATAGGATTAGAAGCAAGTTTCAAGAATATGAACTGGTGATCCAGCACACATAAAAGCTGATCCCACTGGAGAACAGAGGACATTTAATGAGCCTAAGCATACTCAAATCACAATTAAAACATCTTAAAGTGGGCCCTGGCCTGATAAAATGACTCAGTACGTAAAGATACTTGCATCCAAGTGTGAATACCAAGTTGGATACCTGGAACTCACATGGCAGAAGGAGAGAACTGACCCCAACAAGTTATCCTCTGACCTCTGTAAGTGTATCATGACGCATGCATACACAGATATGCGCATACATAGATGTTAAAAGTCTTTATCCCATAATTGAGATATCCCTTTAATCCTTCCCACTCCTTAACTGCTTCAATATTAAGTTGTAAATTCAAATGACTATTGAGAGAATTAATTGTAGTTTGATGTGCAAAGAGTGTAATGGAGGACCTTTCACACAGGGGCTGTGCATATCCCTACTCAGTGTCATTATACAGTAAAATTTCAGTGTACTTATATTTAAGTAATACATAGAAACAAGAGCCGTTGCCACTATGCGATGCTGCAGTGTGTGTTTCCACTGTGCAATATTTAAATCAAGGTAAACCCTTCTTCAAACATTAATCATGCTTCATGGTGGAAACATTTGAAATTCTCTTTTTTCCTTTTTTAAATTTAATTTAGAAACAAGCTTGTTTTACATGTCAACCCCAGTTCCCACTCCCTCTCCTCCTCCCCTGCCCCCACCAACCCCCTATCCAATCCCCTTTCTTCACCCTTAGTTTATTGTTACAGACCCAAACTTCTTGTTCTGGTCTGATTGTAGCTTCCTAGCTGTTGTTCATCTCCCCACCCCTTCCCCTTCCCTCCAGGGTGTCTGTAAAAAGCTCTGGATACAGCAACCTTCTGTAGATTCTATTGTGAGTGAGATTGCACAGTATGCCTTTTTATGTGCTTGGCTTTTGAAACGCCATTCTTTATGCTCACGCGAAATGCCTGTCAGTGGTAGAACTTAAATCCACATGCAGTGTTAATTCAAAACCATGTTAAATGGATAAGTCTTCAATTACAGTGCTGAATGCAGTGTGCTACTGAGCTCCAGAAGGAGAAATGCTTTGTGTTCCTTAGTTTCAAACAGCATCCACTCTTCTCATCTGTTTTCCTCCTACGCCGATTTTTTTTTCTTTTCACTTTTATTATTTAAAGAAATGTCTAGTTTGGAACTTTCTCTCATCTGTGCAAGGCACTCTTTTTTGATATGAAAATTTCTTTCATCACTTCAAGACTTACTTTAAAAACTATTCCCATAAGTAAATATCATATACTAGATGATACCTTTTCTTCAACTACTGGATGCACTAGGAGAAAAATGGGATTTAACAGCAACTTACTGTGCTTTTTAACTCTTCATCCAGATGAGCAAGGCTTTCTTAAAGTTTGGAAGCTTAATGTCAACTTGTGAGTTTTCTTTTCTTTCTAATGGAGGAAAATGCAGAAATTTATGCCTAACATTATATATGATTATTTGCCAGAACTCAGTAATCCAGGCCAGACCAAAGTAAACTGAAGATATCTATGCCAGTATTTCATGTGATAAAATTGTTGTTTCTGCTGTTTCAATAGGATAACAAGATTCTGAGGCTAATTTGCAGAAAAATTTAATGATTGTTAAAAATAACTCTAATTTGCAAACTCAGCTTGATAGAGATGTGGACAGTTAAATCTGTGGCTAAGAGCACAACATACCCACCTCAGGGAAGGAGTTTATAATTCATGTCAGTAAAATTCAGTCAGCAAATACTCAATGTGCCACTGGGGCAAGTAAAAATTGGTCTGTTGCATTGACATGAATGACTGACTGATGCTGTCAAAAGTATCTCTGTGTGTATGTAATACATATAAATAGGCCATATATGTTACATATAACATATACAACACATGCAAGCATCATGTTTTCAAATATGTGTTTCTTAAAATGTGTTTGAAGAGAAAGATTAACTTATACTAAAAGCAATTCACTTAGTACATAAGCTCTTGGGAATGATATTTGGAAACTAGGAACGGAAGGCCCACCTACCACTGAATAGCAGACCCTCCAAGACCCCCACGCCCAACCACCTGTTCTTATAGAGAGATCCTTTATTAAGCAGGGAAGAAAAGTTAAAGTGGCTGCCTTCTGACTCAGCAGAAAAAAAAGCAGCAAATGACTTTGCATGTGTAATTTTTAAGGAGAGAGAAAAGCAGAGTTCTGTGTTAGAATGGGCTAGGATGTGGTAGTATATTTTTACTGGGTATGCTAATTAGGTGGACCTAATTGCTGGACTTTAATACTTTGATAACTGGTCCTTGGTCGTCAGCCTCAGGAGGAAATAATAGCCAAACAAGGCAATAATCCTTAGTGGCTAGCTTTAGAAATGTAATCTAATGTTTTTGTTTTTGTATTTTTTTTTTAGCAAGGTAGAGAGAATGCGGGAGAAGGACAAGGCCTTCAGAGCCATGCTCACCACACCAGAGGTGGCCAGAATTCCATCAGGAACACTGAAAATATATTACTCTGAGGATAGACTAATCAAGGAAATCCATGTGGAAAACTCTTACCAGAGCAGAAGCTCTGTTGAAAACAGAATAAACATATTTGATGTAATTATTTTGTTGTCATGTATGAACCTGCTGCTTTGTCTATAATGTGAACTCATACAGGGCAAAGACAGAAGATGTAGTTGCAATGGGTATTAGTAACATTGCAGTCCTACTAATCACTTTATGCTTGAAACTTACCTTCCAATGAGGAACAATACATGCTTCTTTCTAACAAACAAGCATTCCTGGCTTGCTAGTGAAATTTGGAAGACATTGTGCAGAAATAATTGTTTAGTGTAAATATTGTCTAAAATATTTGCTTTGCTCATTTTTTCTTGTTATTTGTCTGTGACAAGATATTTATTTATCCAATTGCACATGCTGCCTTCTGTTAAAAATGATTTGGTTTCTGTTTTGTAATAATGGATTACTAACATCTTATCTTAAGTCAGCTCAACTCATCTCTGCATCAGATTGTGCCATATTTGAACAGGCTAACTTGGGAGAGCATTTGTTATCACTGTTTATCCCAGTGAGTAGTTTTTACTGAAATAACACCATTCTGTTGGTGGCTCAACTTCATGTATGTCTGAAAATACTAATTATTTGTATGCTTCCAAACTTCTTTGGTTAGCCTCCCCTAATGTCTCCTCTCTTTGTACCAAACAAATTCAGTGCAATCCCAATTCAATTCTCTGTACATCCCCCTCCTGAGAAATAGAAAAATACCTTAATTTTCATATGTAAATGTAAAACTTCCTGGGTAATATTTCATACGTGTGACTCCCTGTCATACACAGAAGACACTATCTGGTAGCAAAACTCCTGGTCTTCTGAGTATTATGATCTTTCTGTCATTTCTTTTGTGATGTTCCATGAGTCTTAAGTTGTAGTGGTTGTATTGTAGCTGTATCATTTTAAAACAGGTAAAGCATAGATAGTTGTTCTCTGTGTTTTGACCATCTGTGGATTTTTGTGATGGTCTCCATCTACTGCAAAATATATTTCAAGTCCTACAGGTAACTAAGGGCAGTGGCAATAGCCTATACTGTTTGGGGTGTCTCTTGAAATCCTCTTCCTAATCATGATTCAAAGGGAGGTCTCCCATTCCTGGAATGAGGGATTTCGCACGACAAACTTTAGCTTCATAGCATCATGGGAAGCATCATATATACACAAGAAGAGGTCATGAGGTTTTGAGGGAGTGGGAGAGGCATGGGAAAAGACTAAGAGTGTGGGATGGCAATATGTAGATAGAGTATTCACATATGAAATTCTCAAAAGAATTAAAAGTCATTGACTAGTTAAAATAATGTTTAGCAAAAAGATCAATGCTAAAAATGAAATTCTTGATTTCAAACTATACTACAGATCCATAGCAATGGAATAAGTTTTGTGCGTGGGGTGGGGAGGATAACCCACAGAAATCAGAATATAGATCAATGGAATAGAATAGAGGAGTAATATATAACTTTATATAACTTCAGAATCAGTTTTGACACACTGAACCAAATACAGTATCTTCCTAAAAGTTCTGCTTGATACAAGGTATATGTATATTGAAGACTGAAATTAACCTTATTTTATCATGTACAAAAGGTAACTCTGTGTCTATCAAATAGCATAGAATAAAACCGGAAACTTTAAAAAGGGATAGAGGAAAAGGTAGAGGCAAAGGCAAAGACTTTTTATATTTTAAGCTTTATTTTTATTATTTGCATATAGAATATAATAGAATGTTGACTCGCCTACCACTTTTTTCTCAGCAGCCATCAGTCTCTGTATTCATTGCCATTCACTGGAAAGTGTAGCTTCTCTGATTAAAGCTAGGAGTAGCTTCTGCCTCTGGGTATAAACATAAACATTTAAAGGGCAGCTTAATGCTGCCAATTTGCTAAACAACAATATTCAGTCCCCAACTAGGGCCTATGATCTCCACAGCCATGGATTTCAGATCAGATATACAATACCACTTAAGAAAATTTTAATGATCATATTATTTTACCAGTCTTATTTAGTTATTTTATGAGTAAAAACTCCTACAATGACCTTTTTATTTTGTGGGGGAGGAAATGTCATTAATCAGGAATGGAAAAGTTGATTTTAATTTTATGTTTATTTATGTTTATATTTTTTTTGTTTTAGCCAATCAAGACACACTGATGTAAGCCAGACTGCCTCATTATTCTATGGTCCTATGGACAAATATACCACCATTATGCTCTCACTCCTGCTTTATAATCAATGCAACCCATAATGAGCACAGACAGCAATGTAAATATCACACTGCAAAACACATTTAGGAAAACAATTCTTCAAGAAACACGCATTTTCTCTAATGTGCTTCTGTTGAAACTTAAATTGGATGTCAGCCTGATGTGGGTAAACAGATTATTTTAGAATCTGAAGGCTTGTGCCAGAGAAGCTATTAGTTCACAGTTCCACACAAATCACTCCATATCCCAAATAGTGGATTGCCGATACATTGGACTGGTTATTGTGTTTAGTGTTTAAAAACTATTGAATCAACTCTGCTGGTCAAATTTAATGTGTCTTTATTCAAATGTACAGTGGAGAACTCACCTTGGTCATCAGTCAGGAGCACAAATCTGAATTCCTTCACATGTTCATCCATCATTAAACATTCATTAAATGTCAAGTCAACATATCCTGCGGTTATTTTGACACATACCAGGGTTCAAAAACCACTTACCATTACCCTGAACAGAACCTTTAGTCTGCCTTAAGTGGGTGTTTTGTGCCAGGAAATTGCATCATCAATCATCTGCTAATAATTATGTGTGTCATTTCTAATGGGGGCTTGGGAGTGTTTGTCCCAAGATTTCAACAAATATTAAAGCAATAATCGATAATTAGACTCTGATGAAGTGACATAATAAGTTGGTATAGGACTTCATCGATTTTAAAGCTTTTCAATATATTATTGAATTAGTTTTAAACCACCACCTAATTTATTAATCTGAGTACATGTACTGCAGGACTTCAGTAAATATTTTACAGCTGACATTTCCATTAAACATTTACTATTCATCAAGGCTTCTGTTTATAAGAAGGTATGTTTATTTTCCTAGTTTATAATACTATTTCATACTAAATAATTCTTAACATTGTGCAAAATATTTTTGTGAATTAATAATAATATTTATCAATCAGTGTAGAGTCAATTTAAATATGTGTACCAACAATTGATTTTTCTTTCAAATATCAACATTTTTTCTCTTCTAAAATATTAATATGGTACAATAAAATTGTTAGTAATTTCAAATTCATCAATGCCAAGTTGTTTAACCAATATGACAACATGTGGTTTTTGGTTATTTTATTGTGACAGGGTCTCACTGTGCAGTCTTGACTGACTTGGAACTCTCTCATCTCAAACTCATAGATATCCACCTGCCTTTACCTCCCTATTGCTGAAATAAAATGCATGAACTACCACACCTGGCCCATTATATGTTTTATATTAGGCATTTAGGAAACTGGAGTTATAAGCTTGGCTTTGGGGTCTTGTACCTCAACTGGTGTCTAGCTTTTACTAGACATTTTCTTGAAATAATATGCAAAGAATATTTTTTTTTAACTTTTGATGAGGTGACAAGGTCAACCAGTTATGGAATCATTGTAAAGAGAGAAACAAGGCCATGAAAGAAGCAGACAAAAGTGATGAATCAGGTGGCTTTACCTTACTTGTCTTTCTGGAAACCCTGCTTATAAATGAATTCAGAATATCATAACACTGGAGACACCGAACTGATTGTGTACTCGCCTTTCTACATGGATGAAAATGTGAACTGAAGGACTGAAGGCTTCCCCAAGCAAATAAGAAATTGTCCAACTATTATGTACATTCATGCGAGTTTTGTCCCGTACATGAAGGTTCTGGTTCAGGGACTATGTGGTGAAGTACAAGAACTGACAATATTCTAAAAGGGCTAACATGAAACCTAAGTTTTATTTAATGTTTCCAAATTCTAAGGATATCAAATACTTTTTGAGATTTTTTAAAAGCTATTTTCCCTCTTCATTTGAGAAACACTTTTCTGCATGTTAATTTTGAGTTTGTCCATTTATAGGATTTATTGCATTTATTAACTTAGGTATGTTGAGTCTTTGGATAAAGTCATGGTCCATGATCTACTGATATATTCCAGTACTCATTTTCAAGTGTTTTATTTAAGATTTTTTTTGCATGTCCAATCAGGGATACTAGTCAATAGCCATTGTCATCTTCTCCTTTGTCTTCCTTTTTGCTTTTCCTCCTTTTCCTCCTCCTTCTCTGTCTTTACCTGGTTTAAATATTATGTAATTCTAGATTCATAGAAGCAACTTGGAAATGCTCCTTCTGTTTGTATTTTTGAATAGAGATATCAGTTGTAAATTGTCTTTGAATGCCTGAGAGACTTCTGCTGTGAATTCCTCTGGATCTTGTTTAATTGCACTCAGATGGATTTTTAGTAGCGTCATTCTCCTCTTTTGTTACAGATCTGCTGAGGTTGTTATTCTTCCTGGTTTATTTTTGGTGGTTTAGAAAAACATAGATTGCTGTCCATTTGTTTTAGATTTTCTAACTTAGTGGAGATTATATCTTGAAGGTTCTCATAACATTCTGAGTTTCTTTCATGTCTGTTTTTTGATTCTGCAAATTTCATCCTCCTTTTTCTTATTTTGGTTGATTGGGCCAATGTGTCAGTCTTGTATATAAGCTCAAAGAACCAGCTTATAGATTTTTTCCTTTGTGTTAATAATTTATTAATTTCTACACTGATTTTTATTAATATGCACTGTCTACTGGATCTTGTTTGGTTTGTTCTAGGTTTTCATATTTGAAGTATTTGAATTACATCTTTAAGCTTTTTGTTTGATATCTTTTGGTTTTTTTAATGTAGACTCTTAGAACTACAAAGCCCCTCTTAGAACTGTTTTTAATGTGTCCCAGAAATTTTGCTATGTAGTGTTTTCACCTCCATTTAAGTTTCATTTCAGGAAATTCTTATTTCTTTCTTGATTTCTTTTTTGGTG